TTATTCTTAAGTACATTTTATTGTTACTTTTATGTGATAAAAGACTAAAATCATACAAATCTTTTGTTTATTGTATTTTATAATAGAATATTAGTATACAATAAATCTCATCCATAAAGCAGTTCAAATAAAGTACTTTTTTCTTGCATTATTTCAATAACTTGTATGATTTGTATTGTACTAAATTACTATGTAATATTTAATTATTGATATAAATTCTTTTATTCTCTTTAATTTTAAGATATTTTGAGATTTAAATATCTATTAAATGATATTGTTTATATTATTAATAATATATCCATAATTTAGGAACAAAATTACTAGATAAACATATATTTTTAATTTTATTATTTGTATCAAATACATTTAAATTAAAATATAAAACATCAATTTATAAACCAAAAACTATTATTGTTATACTTCAAAATTATTTTTGGAGTACATCATCGTTTAAGATCTCCAAGATCTTCAATGTAATCTTCATCAATTTCTGGCCACTTTTCAGGTATAATATCAAATAAATCATCTTTTACATCACCTTGTATAACAATTTCATCATCACCTGTAACACTAGACCCACAAGCAAATTTTGTACCAAAAAATTTTGCTGCTACTTTCAAGTCTATATTAAAAGAACTTAAACCAGTAACAACAGTAACAGACTTCTTTTTTCCTCTTGGTGCTCTTGATAAACATACCTAACACAATTCAAAAATTTTACAAAAATTACTTTTAGTAAAATAATATATTAAGTAATTTTTACTTGTTTCGGTCCATCATCTTTTTTCTTTGTTTTAACCATGCCCTTACCACCACGCTTTTGGCGCTTTTTCTCATCTGAGTCATCACCCCCAACTGTTCCATTACCTGACATCAATCTACTAAACTCTTCAGGCAAATATTTTTCTAACCACTCGCGGCATCGATCAGTATCAGATGAGAAATCACAATACTCTGGTGGTAGAGAGCAATTACCACAATAAAATACTTTAAGAGGGTATGAAGGTTTTAGATTAGACTCTTCAGTCATGTTACTAAAAAAAAGAAAAAATTGTTTCACAAATGAAAAACAGGAAATAATATTGAATATTACTTTTATAAAAAAAGTTAATTCATTTATTACAAAAGAAAATATTGTAAGCGGTTGGAAAAATTATTGAATACATTATAGAAAGAAAATTAGAATTGTTAACAAAGAAGTAATTAAGATATTGATAAAAAAAATTATAGAACTAAAAAAGAAAACAAATTTTATAGAAGTGGCAAAATAAAATTCCATAATATTAAATAATAAATTAATTTTTCTCAAGACAACTTTATCGAAAACTATTATAGCTAAATAAATAGAACTTTACTGACTAAAAATATAGTAACTTTTATTCATGGTGGTGCAAAAATAATAAAAAAGAAATGTTCAGGCAGTGTCACTACTAGTAATAATAAGACGATATTTAGAAGAAAAAAAATTAACTATGAAAAAGTTTAAATTTGGTGGTACATTTTACTTCACATATTTCATCAATAGATTATTAAGTTATGATACTAACTCATAATTATTCACTTAAAAAATAAAAACTTATAAAGACGTCATAATACTTACATTAAATAAAACTGTAAAGTTTTCTTGACAAAAATCTATTTTAAAAATCAAAGTTTGTTAAAGTTTACTAACTAAGCTAGGTATATATTGAACTTATTTTTTTAATGACTAAATATTATCAATCTTAGTAGAGATC